AGCTGCTGAAGCCACATTCTTCCCAATCAGTTTCATCAGTAATAAAGCTGATATTTAGGTTGAAACACATGTCAAAGTAGATGTGTCAAAGGCTGCAGATGCTAAGCTGAACCTGTTTGAAGGGTTGGGAAAGAACACGCAACAGGCATGAGTGGATGATGTCAGTGAACTCTCTGTAGGGAAATCATTCAGGTGGTCCAATTTGTAAAGTCATGCACCTTTTTTTGGGCTTTCCTGGTGGTGCTAATGGTAAAGAAGCCACCTACCAATGCAAGAGACACAATAGACACAGGTTCAACTCCTGAGTGGGGAAGATCCCCTGGAGAAGGAAATGGGAACCCACTCCAGGTTTGTTTTTCCCCATATGGATATTCCACAACCATTTGTTCAATAAGACTATCCTCCCTCCATTGAATTATCTATACTCCTCTGCTGAATATCCACTGACCACATACATATGTCTGGAAATGCTACTGGACTGTCAGTCTTGTCCCATGGATCCACAGCTCCAGTACTGGACATGCAGAGTAAGTTATGAAATTAGGCTGTGTTAGTCTTTCAGTTTGTGCATAGTCACAATTCTTCGGGCTATTGGCCACTTCTGTTCTCACATAAATTTCAATATTAGCTCATCAGGGAATTCTCTGGTTGTCCAGTGACTGAGACTCTACCTGACAATGCAAGGAACACGGGTTCAATCCCTATTCCAGGAAGAGCCCACAAGGTGCAAGGCCACTAAGCCTGAGTACCACAACCACTGAGCCTGTGCTCTAGAGCCTGCCAGCTGCAACTACTGAAGCTGGAGTGCCTAGAGCCTGTGCTCCACAACAGGAGATGTCATTGCAGTGAGAAGCTTATCTGCTGCAACTAGAGCGTAGCCCCCACTCACCACAAATAGAAAAATCCCATGTGTGCAGCAGCAAAGACCCAGCCCAACCAAAATTACATAAACAAACAAACAAATCTTTTAAAAAAGAATCTGCCTCACAATGTGGGGGATATTGCTTCCATCTCTGGTCAGGGAACAAAGGTCCTACATGCAGTGGAGAAACTACTGAGACTGGGTATCGCGACTAGAGTGTCTGTGCACTGCAACAAGAGATACTGCATGACACAATGAAGTTTCCATTCCCCAGATTAGATCTGATGCAGCAAAATAAAGAAAGTAAATATTTGTTTAAGAAATCAACTCATCAATCTCTACAAAAATATTTGCTGGCATTTTGAGGGAGTCTACAGATGAGTTTGGGGGAAACTGAGGCCTGAACAATATCAATTCTTCTCATCAGACGTTATTGAAGAACATGAATGTGATACATATCTGTATTTTTAGGTTTTCTTCGATTTCTCCCATGGTTTTCACACGAAAATTTGTGTGTGACAAATTTTCTTAAATGGACCTTAATGTTTCATAAAGGGAAAGGAGCCCTGTGTGTCTGGATCCAAGTAGGCAACGGGGTATGAGAAAGGGAAGTTATGAAGCCAGAGAAGATGCAGGCTGGAGCACATAGGACTTAACAGGCCACTGAAAGGCTGTGGCTTGAACTCTGAGAGGGAGCCTACTGGAGGATTTGGAACTGAGTAATTACAGGACCTGACAGGTTTTAAAGCGACCTAGCAGCTTCAGTAGTCCATGTATGGGGTCAAATTTAGCTGAATGATTCCAAGTTTGCTGACAGAAGAAGGGAGAATCAGATGAGAGTCCCATCCCCCTGGTGAACTGACTTCACCATTCTGGGCCATTTTGGGGAGCATTGTCTATAAAGGGCTGTCCCCAGTGCCCCTTCTCCAATTTTTGCTCTTTCCTTCATCTGCCCATTGTAAATACTTCCCTCCCCCGTTGGCGATTTACCAACAAAAACTCTCATTTGTCTCCTTTTTTACCATATGGCTTGGTGGTCTCTTAGCTTTGCCTTAGTGAGATCCTATTAGCAAGAGAGAGAGAGAGAGAGAGAGCGAGTCCCTTAGCAAGAAAATTAATACATAAACCTGTGGTACCTCAATTCAATAATAGTGAAGACTTTGCTATTACAAAAAAAGGAAGAAATCAATAAAAAATAACCACCTTGGTTTAAGCCAAAGGAAGAATTTCTGGGTCTATGTAACTACAAGGTACAGAGGTAGTTTCTGTCTTCAGGCAAGGTTCAGGCAAGGCTGGATCCACCATTTGGTTCTCTGAGATCTGCCTTCTTGTCTCAGCTCCCCTTCTGTCCCTTGCCAGCCTGCCTCCCCTACAGCTCCCAAAATTGTCACTGGTTGGATGTTATCACCATGGCTGGAGGAAAGCAGTGCTCTGATGAGCCACCTGCCCACTCCTGGAATCAGAGGTGGAGTCAACTCTATGATAATCATAATGGGTGAGAGAAAAGGAAAGGGGTGATTTCCCAGGGTGACAGGAGGATACCAGAACCAAGAGAAGGAAAATGGATGCCAAGTGACAAAACCCATAGATGTGCTCGAAGTTGGTGTAGACTTTTCCTCAAATTCAAAAATCAATTTTTATTTTTTTTAAAGTGAGATAGGAAAGATTCTTCATTAATGCAAGCATGGGCCCTGCTACTGACCCTCCCATCAACTTCCATCCCCTGACTCTGGGGGTCCACATCCACTTTTGGGGGTGTCATCTTCCCAATGCTCCCTCACAGACCTTTGCTTAAGTAAAGTTTCTAAGGAAGAGTTTTTTTTCAACAGGGAAATGGAGCAGACCATTATTTTCCAAAGCAACATCATTTCAAAAGTCATGATTGTTTATGAAGTTATTTAATCAACAAGGAAACCTAAATACTTAAATGTTTTTCCCTAATGTCCACTGATGACATTGACAGTTGAGGGGGATTCATGCTGGGTGATAATACTCAGCATTATCCCGCATGTTCATATGGTCAGAATGTACTGAAAGACAGAAATATGCAAGGCCCAGAATTCTGCAATTTGCTTTCATATTTTTCCATATTAGTTCCCAGCTATCTGATTTGCTCTCTGATTGCCACATGTTATTCCAGCAGGCTTGACTTCCCCTGATTTACTCAACATTTCCCCCTGGATTTACATTCTACCAAATTTTCACAATGACAAACAATGCAGTAATTAATACTATGGTCGATTCTGCCTTGTTCACATATACAAGAATTTTCCTATGATAAGACTCCAAAAGTGGGTCAAAGGATATGTGCATCTTACATGTAATAGAACGTGCCAAAGAAATGTCCAGATAGATTTTACTAGCACTCTGATACTGTATAAGGGTCCTTGTTTTGGCTTCCCTGGTGGTCCAGTGGTAAAGATTCTGCCTGCTAATGCAGGGCACATGTGTTCAATCCCTGGGCTAGGAATATCCCACATGCCTGGGGCAGCCAAGCTCGTGTGCCACAACAACTGAGCTCACCACTATCTAAAGTCTGTGCTCCTCGACAAGAGAAACCTCTGCAATGAGAAGCCTGAGCACAGCAATAAGAGAGTAGCCCCTGCTGACTGCAAGTACAGAAAACCTGCACACAGTTAACAAGATGCAGTGCAGCCAAAAATAAAGAATTTTCATATTTTTTTCATAAATAAAATTTTTAAAAGGAGTCTTTGTTTCCAACTATAGCCTTCTCAGACATTGATGATTTCAGTTAATTAAGTTCATCCTACATTAAGATCTGCTCTGGTCATACAAAGTCAATCTTAATAAGTAAGACCCAAAAAGGATCAAACCGTTTCCAAGCAACTTAACAGGATTCCAGAATAAAGCTCAAGAATAAGTTTAGGCACAGAAAAATATTAAGCATGCATGGGAAATTTGATATTGCTTGGCATCCAATCTAAAATTACCAGGAAGCAAAGAAGCAGGAAAGTCAAATCCATTAAAACATAAATCAGTGTGTTGCTGTTCAGTCGCTCAGTCATGTCTAACTATTTTTGACTCCATGAACTGCAGCACACCAGGTTTCCCTGTCCTTCACCATCTCCTGGAACTTGGTGAAACTCATGTCTGTTGTTGTGATGCCATCCAACCATCTCATCTTCTGTCATTCCTTTCTCCTCCTGCCTTCAATATTTCTCAGCATCAGAGTCTTTGCCACTGAGTTGGCTCTTCACATCATGTGGCCAAAGTGTTGGAAGATTTCATTTTAACAGAAATCAGTTAAAATCCATTAATTAGAAAGGAAAAAAATAAATGTGCATGTATTTACAGACAAAACCATTGTCGAAGAGGGAGTTCAATGGGATCTACAAAAGAGCTATTACAATTAATTAGTGAGTTTAGCAGGGTTTCACGATACAAGGATACTCTTGAGAGTGCTTTGAATTGCAAGGAGATCAAACTAGTCAATCCTAAAGGAAATTAGTCCTGAATATTTAGTGGAAGGACTGGTGCTGAAGCCAGAGCTTCAACACCTTGGCCAGCAGATGCCAAAAGCTGACTCACTGGAAAAGACTTGTGATGCTGGAAAAGACTGAAGGCAAAAGGAGAAGGAGGCCACAGAAGAGATGGTTAGATAGCACCACCGACTTAATGGACATGAATCTGAGCAAATTCCAAGAGACAGCGGGGACCCAGAGCCTGGTATGCTACAGTCCTTGGGATCGCAAACAATCATCTGGACACAACTTTAGAGACTGAACAACAACAACATTCTGGTGTTTTATATATAAACGCAACTATAAAACTAACAAAATATTCCAAAATTAATACTGAATGGCAGTACACAACTTTCTTATTCTCCCACTTCTTACATTGTCTTCCATTATGTTGTACTCCTTGAATACCTGGATCTCAGAACCTCCCCTCCAACCAAAAGACAAATGCAGTATTAGGAAGTGAACACACTAAAAACAAAGTCAGAGACAGCACAGTAGCTCAGTTTTATTTTCTGTAGTTAACAATCACCAAACAAACTAAGTGGACCCTGAGCCCCGAAGCAGCAGCACAAGCACCAGATGAAGCCCCATCAAACTAAATCAGAAAGCAATGCGCTGGGGAAGGATACTTGAGGCTAGGGCACATAGGCTAGGTTTTAAGCCCCTCTTCTGTGATGAGGCTTAGCATAAAGGGGGGGCACAAAGTGCTGTAAGGTCTGCATCACCGTGTAAAGCTGGTCCAGACAGAAGGTGATGGACGTCTGGAGCAGGCCAGGATCTTCAGCAGTCAATCGGCTAAAAGGGGGGGGGGGGGGGAAATGAAATTCAAGTTCCCACCAAGAAGGAGGAAGAGGAGCATGTCCTCCCTCTGTCCCCACACACTGACAAGCCCGGAGCACCACACTTCTCCTCTAGGCTTAACGCTCTATTATGGCTCCTCCTGGGCTGAGACTGGTCACCGCCCTCCACTCCCTCCCCGGCCCCGGCCCCCTTTAGAACTGACAGAACCAGCATGCGGCCATTAACATCGAGCTCCTTCCGAATCGGCCCTCGCAGTTGAGTACGTGGAGTCAGGAAGTGGCGGGCGACGTCTGCCTCCGCGTGCGATGAGAAAGGCACAGTGAGGCTGCTGGTGGAGATACGGTTAAGGCACCATCCACATTTCTCATATGGCTTGTACGTCAGGCTCCCTGCTCACCGAGAACCACCTTCTCCCACAAGGCCACCACTGGATACCCTGGATATCACTGCCCAACCCTCTGGATCCCTTCAGGTTGCTTTCCTTCACCACTATCCTCTGGCCGCCAGACCACCTCAGACCCATACCCTCCACCCCCGCAGAGTACCCTCCTCCCACACTTTAGGCCCTGCCACCTGCAATCCCCAAACCACCCCTAGCCCACACCCCGAACCCTGAGGCCGCCCGGCCCACTGGGGCTCCTGGAATAGGATACAACTGGAGGGCTCGGTCAGTCAGAACTCCGGCTCCAGGTGCAGCGTCTCCACCAGGCCCTGGTGCGTGGGGTGCCCCTAGGATCTGTGGAATGGCACCGGCTGCACCACCTGACTCTCCGGCAGCACTGGGTCCTCTGGGATTAGCCTGGTCACCGGAGCCGCCAGGGACTCCTCGACTGACGGCGTCACCAGGGACATCTGGGTCACCAGGGCCATTGCGGCCACCAGCACCACCCAGAACGCCTTGACCACCACCTGCTATGCCAGCTGCAAAGGCCTCGGCAACTGCGTCTTCATCGGCTGCCCTCGTGACTCCTCCGTCGTTTGCCTCGGACTCCATCTTGAACGCTCTGCCTCTCCCTCCGCGGCGGGAAAGACCGAACAGTCTCCACAGAAAACTGCCCTGTAGTGAGACCTGCAACTCAGCAGAGCGCCTGCGCAAACCCACCCTGGTCCTGCCTCATGATTGGTTCCCACCGACAATGGGCGCCCTGCTGAAGCTTCACGCGTTCACGCGCCATGTAGCCCCAATGCGCGTGCGCAAACCCATACCCGCGTGGCCTGGGCCCTCCAAGTCAGGGCTGCCTCAGGCCGGAAACCTGGTAAATGGCTCAGCCATGAGGCGTCTGGGTGGTGCTCCACCCTTTAGTGTGGGGGCAGCTCCTCAGTGCGCATGCTCAAACAGACCCCGCCCGACTCCTCAAGTCACTTGACTGTTTCTGGCCCCAACCTGCAAACTGTGCATGAGCCCCGGTCGCTGTGCATTTCCAAGTCTTCGCTGCTGCCAGCCTGGCTACGTTCACAGGTGATCATCCTGCTGAGAGCAGGTCCTTGTCATTGACTTCCAGAAGGGAATTGGGCACCCCTGGTTCAGGGCTGGTCTATCCCTCTGGTGCCCCACACGTAGGTCACGTCAGTATAAGTTCATCTGTGTGCGTGAGCACATGGGCAGGTGTATGCACATGGGCGTGTGCATGGATGTGTTTGTGAGAGGGAGCACAGGCACAGATTCACACACATAGGTCTGTGCATGTGTCTGTTTTTGGAGGCGTTTGAGCATGGGCACGTATGTGTGGGCAAGAGAGAGTGTGTGGTCAGGTGCATGCACATGGGTGTGTGAGTATGCATGCCTGTGTGTGTGCCAAGAGAGAGTGCCTATGCACAGGTGCCTGCTCATGGATGTGTGTGTGTGTGAGTGCCTGCACAGCTGCATGTACATAGGTGTGTGCATCTGTGTGTGTTTGAGAGAGAGAGAGCACTTGAACAGGTGCATGCACATAGACATGTGTGTGTGTGAGAGAGAGGCAGAGTGAGCACATGCTCAGGTGCTTGCACATGGGCATGTATGTGAGTGCCAGAGGGAGTGTGGTCAGGTGCATGCACATGGGCATGTGCATGTGTATGTGTGTGTGTGAAAGAGAAAGCATGGGACAGATGAATGCACATGGGTGTCTCCATTTGTGTGTGCTTGCACAGGTGCCTTCACATGGGAGTGGGAGACCTGGCTCTGGAGTCCTGAGACTAGGGATGTGGAGGGGGCTGTGTCTGCCCACCTGGGGAGGTAAGCAGAGACTTCTGTTGGACTTATTGAGGATGGCATGGGGCTGGGCCACCTGGGGCTCCAGGTACACAGACTGCAGGGACTCCAGGCTGGGAACTTACTCCAGGTGCCCAAGAAGCACCAATGATACTGGCTGAATTAAAGGGCTGTGGGAAGGGCAGTGTCCCCCAAGACTCCCCCCAGTCTCTTGGCCCTCTGCTGACACAACTCTCAGGGGCTTTCCCTCCCGAGGAACAAAGTCTTGGGGCTGGAGGTGCCAGGGGCCCTCAACTGGAAGGTGACCCTGTGTCTGCTGGCCTGCTGGGTGCTGGTCTGCGTCTGTCTGGAAGGGGGTCAAGTCAATAAGCAAGGTACAGCTGGGGATGATGAGGGGCTGGGGCAGCACTGCCTGGGTGTGGGGTGTGTATGCCAGGGAACTGCTGGTACCACAGAAGGTGGCTGGATCAGGGTCACTGCCCGAAGAGGGGGTAGGTACTTCAATCAGGGCACTTGATCCCCAACCCCTGGCTGGATAGTCCTCTCCATGGCCCTCCAAATCCCAGACCAGCAGCCTTCCCCCACCCCGAGTGGAAGGATTAGATTTTCCTGCATATCATGTTAGCTGTAGGAGTTTTGTAGATTACCTTGATCAGATTAAGAAAGTCTGTTTGTAGTCCTAGTTTTCTGACAGTTTTTATCATAGTGGTTGTTGAGTATTGTCAAATGCTTTTTCGGCATCTATTGAAATGATCATATGGTTTTTCTCCTGTGCTTTCTTTTTGTTTGTTTGTTTATTTTCATTTATTTTTATTAGTTGGAGGCTAATTACTTTACAATATTGAAGTGGGTTTTGTCATACATTGACATGAATCAGCCATGGAGTTACATGTATTAACCATCTCGATCCCCCCTCCCACCTCCCTCTCCACCCGATTCCTCTGGATCTTCCCAGTGCACCAGGCCCGAGCACTTGTCTCATGCATCCAACCTGGGCTGGTGATCTGTTTCACTATAGATAATATACATGTTTCGATGCTGTTCTTTCAAAACATCCCACCCTCGCTTTCTCCCCCAGAGTCCCAAAATCTGTTCTGTACATCTGTGTCTCTTTTTCTGTTTTGCATATAGAGTTATCATTATCATCTTTCTAAATTCCATATATATGTGTTAGTATGCTGTACTGGTCTTTATCTTTCTGGCTTACTTCACTCTGTATAATGGGCTCCAGTTTCACTCATCTCATTAGAACTGATTCAAATGAATTCTTTTTAATGGCTGAGTAATATTCCATGGTGTATATGTACCACAGCTTCCTTATCCATTCGTCTGCTGATGGGCATCTAGGTTGCTTCCATGTCCTGGCTATTATAAACAGTGCTTCGATGAACATTGGGGTGCACGTGTCTCTTTCAGATCTGGTTTCCTCAGTGTGTATGCCCAGGAGTGGGAATGCTGGGTCATATGGCAGTTCTATTTCCAGTTTTTTTTTTTTTTTTAAGAAATCCCCACACTGTTCTCCACAGAAGCTGTACTAGTTTGCATTCCCACCAACAGTGTAAGAGGGTTCCCTTTTCTCCACACCCTCTCCAGCATTTATTGCTTGTAGACTTTTGGATAGCAGCCATCCTGACTGGCATGTAATGGTACCTCATTGTGGTTTTGATTTGCATTTCTCTGATAATGAGTGATGCTGAGCATCTTTTCGTGTGTTTGTTAGTCATCTGTATGTCTTCTTCCGAGAAATGTCTGTTTAGTTCTTTGGCCCATTTTTTGATTGGGTCATTTATTTTTCTGGAATTGAGCTGCAGGAGTTGCTTGTATATTTTTGAGATTAATCCTTTGTCTGTTGCTTCATTTCTTACTATTTTCTCCCAATCTGAGAGCTGTCCTTTCACCTTGCTTATAGTTTCCTTTGTTGTGCAAAAGCTTTTAAGTTTCATTAGGTCCCATTTGTTTATTTTTGCTTTTATTTCCAATATTCTGGGAGGTGGGTCATAGAGGATCCTGCTGTGATTTATGTCGGAGAGTGTTTTGCCTATGTTCTTCTCTAGGAGTTTCATAGTTTCTGATCTTACATTTAGATCTTTAATCCATTTTGAGTTTATTTTTGTGTATGGTGTTAGAACATGTTCTAGTTTCATTCTTTTACAGGTGGTTGACCAGTTTTCCCAGCACCACTTGTTAAAGAGGTTGTCTTTTTTCCATTGTACATCCTTGCCTCCTTTGTCGAAGATAAGATGTCCATAGGTTTGTGGATTTATCTCTGGGCTTTCTATTCTGTTCCATTGATCTATATTTCTGTCTTTGTGCCAGTACCATACTGTCTTGATGACTGTGGCTTTGTAGTAGAGTCTGAAGTCAGGCAGGTGGATTCCTCCAGTTCCATTCTTCTTTCTCAAGATTACTTTGGCTATTCAAGGTTTTTCGTATTTCCATACAAGTTGTGAAATTATTTGTCCTAGTTCTGTGAAAAATACCGTTGGTAGCTTAATAGGGATTGCATTGAATCTATAGATTGCTTTGGGTAGTATAGCCATTTTGACAATATTGATTCTTCCAATCCATGAACATGGTATGTTTCTCCATCTGTTTGTGTCCTCTTTGATTTCTTTCATCAGTGTTTTATAGTTTTCTATGTATAGGTCTTTTGTTTCTTTAGGTAGATATACTCCTAAGTATTTTATTCTTTTTGTTGCAATGGTGAATGATATTGTTTCCTTAATTTCTCTTTCTGTTTTCTCATTGTCAGTGTATAGGAAAGCAAGGGATTTCTGTGTGTTAATTTTATATCCTGCAACTT